ATCCGGTGTTGCAAACATGGGTCAGTGCACCACCACAAGTAGAAGCCGGAGCAGGAAGTTTGGCTTGTGTCCCGAACACCAACGTGAAAGCTTGAAGCGGGTGATTTTCGGGATGCGATCTTAGCCAGCGCCGCTTTGATTGTGAGTGCTCCTCTGCTCATGAAGAGGCCGGCAACGTCAGCTGGCGCTTTGGTTAGTGTTACTGACTACCTTGCCGGCTCGATGTGCGTGTCTGAAGCATGCATTGCAAAACAAGCGACGTGTTACAGCATGTTTTTGCTGTCACACTCCTCAGCTTAACATCGGCATGGCAACAAATAGGCCTACGATGTTCATCGTGATCGAGAGTGACGCAGGCGTCGTTGTTCGTGTCGTCGTCGACCCATGTCTTCGTCCTCCTCTTCCTGGATGTCGTCGTCGGACTTGTTAAGCAATGCGGGTGGTGCCAGCCCCTGGGGCAGCTTCACCTGGACTTTCATAATAAGACGGAGCAAGCTGCCCGTGATTGTGATCTTCGCTAAGTCGGTCTGCAAGCAAAAATGTCGTGACACGTGCAACGGGTGTCGTCACATGGTGTTGCACTTGTTCGCGTGGCTTGTGGAGTTGTGCTGCCGGTTTGGCTCTCAATGATGCAAATCCTGGAAGTGCGAAAGCTCAGCTGCAATCGCTTGAAAGATGATCATGACACTGATCCTACTCTGGGTCGTTAACTGGAGTAGCGACTCTCGCGGTTGAAAACGACATCAGGGCCAGCCACACAGAGCACGAGCATCACCAGAACTACAAAGTGCAATACCACCACCAAGGCCACGCCCATGCCATTGTTCCTGATCCTCATGCTTGCTGCTCCACACGTTGGGGCATGTGATTTTTCATTTTTGTTTGCTTGATTGGCTTCGTTTTTGTTTTGCATGTTGTAATATCCATTGACGGCTGGGGCTTCGCGGCACATTGGCTATATCGATACAGTTGCTTTGGCGGCGGCTGCAGCTAGTCTTTACTAGTGTGAGTGCTGCTATATGTCCTGTTACCACGCTTACTTGTGTCACTGTACTTGTACTGCCACTGGCCATTGCGAACATCAACAATCTGGTTCAGCATGATTCCCACCCTTGTTGTCATCACCTTAGCTACTTCCCGTGATTACAGCTTGTGGTTGCTTCATGTGTCGTGTGTCGTGTCTTCTGAACCGTGTACAGACAGGAAACTAGGAACCTGTGCTACTGGCTGATTCTAGCTGCCTACCTGCACCCCGCTTCGGAGCCGTCTTTCGGCCAAGAACATCTGGTAAACGTAGGCATGGGGACCTTAGGGGGGATCGTTAACCCCGAAAGCTCGTTGACCAAGCTCTGAACCTCGGATTCCCGGAAGCCTGAACCTGAAGAGATAACCCCACAAAACCCTTCCCTGTCCGCCCCCCTAAGGTCCCCGGTAAGTGCCCGTCGAAGTCTTCAGTGATCTGCGTGATTCGGCCTCAGAACCCACATTGGCCCCGCAAACAGCACTGATACCCGAATTCGTCGAGCCTGCATGGATCAAGTAATCGTAATCAAGAACACAGAGCTCTATAGGAAGCAACATACAGCACCTCCCTTCAATCCAAAGTCGCCTTCTGCCAGCCTTCTTCAGGGGCCTAAGATCCTGTCTCAAGACCCTAAGCCTCAAACCCCAAAACCCACTAATCACCCGAAGAGCGCCATTGCTTCGAAGCCTTGGCCTCGCAACCTGAAGCCCGAGCTCTGACTCAAGGCCTGGTCTTTGGAGAAGGGTAGTTCTCCAATTTTAGGGTCCTTTGTAGGGCTCCTCAAAGGGACATCTACTTTCGGTTTTCTATTGTGGTACGACAAGGCTTCTTTCTGGGTATGTCTCTAAATTAGGCTCCCTTTTGGGGTCC